CACCCGCAGGACGAGGATGGCTTGAAACGTCTCAAATCAGCACTTCCTCAGTTGAAATGGACTACCGGAGAGGTACGTACCAACCCAACCATTTCAAGAACCGCTCTGAACACAAGTTGCCTTAGCACGAATACACCCGGTACGGTTTTCGAAAGCTGATCGAAACGCGTTCTGTGGACATTCTACAGCCTGATGTCACATGGGTCGGCGGGCTTACAGAGCTCTTGAAGATAAGCGCCCATGCAGCCGCATACGACATCCCGGTCGTCCCGCATGCGTCGAGTTGTTACAGCTACCATTTTGCTATGAGTCAGACCAACACGCCGTTCGCCGAGGTCTGTATCATAGATGCTCTGATTGAAAGCTTCAGTGTTGATGTGATGCTCGTAGATCGTCTGCAACGCACCTGACGGAAAATCCGTCCAGCCGAGCTTCGGAAAGCTCTTTCTGAATGAGCCACTGCCGGTCAATGGACGTATCGAAGCAGGAGCACTTGATGCGCCGGGATTTGGATTGTTGTTGAATCCCGACGTGAGATTGCTTGACGCAGAGAAGGTCTTGACGGTCGGAATCGAGCGAACCCCTCGTTCAAAAGAACCCCGAAGGACATGCAAAACAGACAGGGGAAGATGTGACTCGTGGAGCATCTGAAGAACAATCGTAAGTATGACGTCCCTTTGTGCTGGCTAACTTGCCTAGTAAGGATAAGCGGGGGGCCAAAGGGAAGACCGAAGGCATTGTCGCATTGCCGCGAGATAAGCAGAGGGCGCGCCATACGGACTAAATGGAAAGGAATGTATTAACATACATAGTATACTATAACAGAGTGTCTAAGGCGTGAATTCCTCTAGGAATGGAAAGACATGGACCACTTTTCAAGCAAGCTATCCAGTCTTTTCGCAATCTTCTGTCCGTGGTCCTTGACGACAACTTGGCGGAGTTTCTTGATGACCGGAATGACGCCAGGAAGCTAATAGAACATCAGAACTGCGCAAAACGCAGCGAATTATATAGGGCTGACCTCAGCGGGCATGAATATTTGGTCGGACTCGATTACTTCAGCGTAGATCTTATCGGCGACTTCTATCTTCTCAATTTCATCGACGATGTGGTTTCGAGTTTCCTGGTGTGGCAATATCGTAAATAAATTTACGCGGATGTATTGGAAGAACTCAACTTACAAATCGCTTTTGCTCGACATCCTCTTCTTCGGAATTGTCAAGACTTTCACGAAGTTCTATGAGATGATCCAATCTCACTGACGCTTGAACGATATCAAGGCCTTCGAATACGTCAGTGCCAAGTAGGATGTATGAGTAAACGACGCACCACTTCGTACGAGTACCATTTGCTTGCACATAGCATCTGATAGCACTTGCGCCATCCCCGGTGGTTCGACTTTTGGGCACATGACCAACGACATAGATAGCGCGTTGATGATGATTTCTTGGGTAGTCTGGAAAACCGTGGGTTGACAGCTGACAGAATTGTATCTGAGGTCCATGGCCGAGAGAAACAGCGAGTATCCGTAGATCAGGAGAGAGTCATCGGCCAACGGTTCGAAGTAGGATGTGTATCTTGAAGGACGGTGAAGCCTCAAGCCGAACAACCGCAGGCGTTGCAGCTGCTTCGCAATTGGGGGAAAGATGCTGCAAAGAAGTTAGTATTATTAAAAGTCACGGCTGGGTAGAAAGCACCTCGAAATATCCTCCGCTGGCGAGACTTGGAAGGCTCTTCTGGTCAACTCCAGTGTTACCGCTCGGAAGTTGTAAGAGACTCTGCACAACGTGGGCAAAACGTTCATCTCCCATTCCACGTCTCCAGGATAGATGCATATGGCGTGCACACTGTTGGCAATAACCCGCAGGATAATCCTCGATAGAAGCTCGTTGGGAATGGTGCGATGTGAGAGAGATATTACAGCCATGTTTCCAATGGACCTTCAGATGTTGGGGCGTATTGCTGATGGACGATGAGCATATTCGGCGCCTCAGACTACTTCTAGTGGACCGCAAGCGCTGAAGGGCAGTGTGTGCTCTGAAGAAACTTTCAAGAATGCGGCGTCACCCGGACCCAACGCCATAAACGCCAACTTCATCGCCGATCACAGCTGATCACAAACAGGACCAAGCAACACGGCGCCTATTTTGGATCCGCGGCGATACAACAGTGATATTAATGGAGCACGATGGCCAGTGGTTCAGCTACTTCAAAATGTGCACTCTCTCTATGTGCATACGAACATGGGCTAACATACTACTTATGCATACTTACACGTACAGCGCCGAACATTGTAATATCTTCTACGCTGGTACATTGTTTATGATCCCGTGTTACACATCAGCCAGGAATGGATAGGTGTGTTCTCGGGAGCAATGCTAAGATGTGGGCTGAACTTTGAGTGACAACGAAGTATCGATATCCTTACAAAGAACGCCATCATACTGATCACATAGATTCCTCTGACATACGTGCCACTGGACTGCATCAGGGTCCAACGCCCGCCTCCCGTTGTAGCAGTAACGACAAGCCGTGAGACCACCAATCAAACTCGTTCTCAGGCCTTGTCTCCCTCCCTAGTACTCACCTCAAACCACCACCAGAACGCAGTATGGCACCCAGAAAAACCATCCTTGTGTACTTCACCCAGTCCTCGTCCCACGAAGCCCAAGCGGCGCTCGTGCACGATTTCAATCACCCGCAGGGGCGAGTCGACCAGGAAAGCCAGAATCGGTTTGATCTGGCAAATGTGAATGCACTCGGGTTGCCGGTGGAGGATGCTGTCGCCTTGCATGCACAAAAACATGACATGGCCGATCTCGCAGATGCCGCCCAGATCCACAGATCCCTTATCGTCGTGGCGGATGACGGCGTCTCGCCTTCTTCCCATCCACAGACAGTGTTGATCGTTAAAATACTTGAAGGCGCAGAGGGGAAGAACGTAGGGAGTGGGGCAAGTAATCGATACCAGCCTGTCCGTGTCCTTGCATCGAACGTAGCATCAGTCCTCGCGACGATAGCGAATGGCGAACACGGGTGGGAGGATTATTGGAGCGTTGCGCAAGCCAACGGTGGGCACTTCCCTGGCGAATAATATAGCATGCGTTCTGTTCAAGGTGTGCTTTTGCTACCACTCTGCGCCAGCCGAAAGGAATTGACGTGACGAAAGCGAAAGACAGCAACGATTTTATCCGCTATGCACTTCGTTCAAGGTTCACTAAAGAGCAGTTTGGGCTGTTGATCAGTTGTAGGAGCCAAAAAATCCCAGTTATACACTGTTGCAGGTGTTACGAGACGAGTTGACTCCGGAATGGAGCTCTCGTGTTACTGAGGAAAGAGGCATGAGTACAGCTGGAGAGAACACGTAGGACAAACTCTTTGGTAACTCTTGAAGACGGTTTTCTGCAGTATATGACAAGTATATTTCGAGGGTACGCGCCAAGTGAGCGTGGACGCAGACGAGATATCTAATCTAATCTACGTATCGTGATGGTCGCGAGTTGTGACCGTGCCAAAGGCCTGTGTCGTGTCGTCGACGTTCTGGTGAATCTCCCTCGTGGTCGGCCGGCCCTGCTGGCCACCCCACACTACGACCTTTCCACGATATCCATAGATGAAATGAAGTTGTATAGGTACGTTGATCGTCGTTTGTAGGTTTGTTTGGTGTTCTTCACTCACAGCAATGACTACATTTTGAATTCGAAAGACCAACTGCTCTGGTCCTCTGGATGACTCGCAAGGTAGCAGTATGTTGAAAGATTCCGACATCATTTTGCCCCTTTTCCGTACGACACGGACACAAGTGGGTGTAATTTCCCCTATTTCCTACCATCTCTCCTTCGACAACCAACTACCGATTATCTCCTCGGAGTCTCTTACCTCTATAAAGCCATCGTGAATAGAGACCATGCCGCAGAATCACTCGCCTGATACAACCATGTCTCCTCGATGCAGTACTTCACCCCTTTACAAACCCTTCGCGTTCATCCCACCAAATTCGAGCACCAGTCGATCTCCCTGCCCCGCATTGAACGCATTGGCCAATCACGGATACGTGTAAGTTCCTCCCTCATATCATATCTTATTCGTCGCTAAATGGCTTAAAAATCAGCGCGCGCAACGGTACAAACATACCATTCTGGACCCTCTTTAGCGCCATCAAACACGTCTACAACCTCTCCTTCTCTCTCGCCCTCCTCCTCACAACCGTCGGCTACCTCACCAGCGGATCAATCTCATTATTCCCCGCCCACTCACCCCACGAAAAGGAGTCCCGCCACAGCCTCTGGACCATCGTACTATCCCATCTCATCCCTCGTCCAACGTGGACCCTCGACTTCGCGTCGCTGTGCACGCAGGGCCCGCTCAAAATAGCACACGACGCCTCCCTCGTGCACTCCGACAACACCGCATCCTGCGCCCCAGATCCCAAGCTCCTCACACACCTTCTGCGTCTCGCGCACCACACCCCTGTCCCCGGTCTACGCACCGCATCACCACCGTCGCCAAGAGAGCGAGACGGCCTGACCCTCGCCGACCTAGGCCGCCTCCACGCCGCCCGCGAAGCCGCCCAACCACACGCACTCAACACACTGCACGAGCAGGTCGCGCTGGGCGAGTGTGGCCTTGCATGGTGTGTCATGCGCGAGCACAGTGCCGACGACTCCCCCAGTAAAGGCGGGGACTCGGAGCGGGGGGTGATTCCGGCCAAGGCGCTGGAGCAGTGGTTTGGGGAGGAAAGGTTGCCGGAGGGGTGGTGGGGTGTGAGCGGGGGAAGACCTGTGAGGACGGTAGGGCTCAGGGAGGCGGGGAAGCGCGCGAAGGAGGTGGGATTGTACCATATATGCGCGTAGTTTTGTCGAGTGTTCGGATGTCAGTGATTGAGATGGAAAGTCGGCTTGCAAGTCCGATCATTACAGCTGTGGTCATCGAATCTCGATGCTCATGGGAAAAGTAGACATGTTAGATAAGGGGAAAAAAAAACGGGGCTCATCCAGAATTGCCGCGTACCCGGATTGAACGAGTGACCTTCTCATCGCAAGCATTGCAATCGGATATTATACGAGTGAGACGCGCTACCACTACGCCAACACGGCATTACTACCCTCTTCCCACCTCTTCTCTCCATATTCATCGTAAATCGAGTGCTCAGTGGCTGGTGGTCAAGAAAACAAAAATAGAACTTTTCATGCAACGCACTTGAACCAGAGAAACTTTCTCATCGCCATCCCGAGCTACATGCAAGGTTCACCGCACCAGCGAGACGCGCTACCAACACAGAACCACGATCCACAGGGCCAGGTCGATTGAACGAGTACCAACACAGGACAAAAACCTAATCCTCGAACACACCAAAGACTGGACCAACGCCCCGCATCGTCATCGTCATTCAATATTCATCCTCCCAACCCACTCTAAGTAGGCTCGCCAGCAGCTCCTACTAATACTAATACTAATACTATATACTATAAACGTGTGGTCTGAGGGGGCAGGGTCATGATTCATGAAGCAGAAGATGTATGTACGTATGAATGTATGATGGATGAATGTATGGGGGGAGTTGTAGATATGGATGGATGGATGGATGGATGTGAGGTTCGTGGGGGATGCATCGATGAATGGAATGATGGAGCGTGGGGGATGAAATGTGAAGAATGAAACGTGAAGAATGTAGTGAAGAATGTAAAAATGTAATTGCTAGAAAATGCAGATGCGAAATGCTATGCTCATGAATGGATGTGCAAAAAGAAAGAAAAAATCAACGCGTGCAGAACACCCGCCACCAACATGGCGATCGCATCTAAAACGCGAATGCCGATCACCCACACCTCATCCACGAGGCACTCCCCCCATGCATGCACCACCATGCATAACCCAACCTCATATCTTCAACTCCCTAAACCCTCTAACATCAACCCTCCCCGTCCCATTCCTCACCCACTCCCCTCCCTCCCCTTCCCCTCCCTCCCCCCCTTCCTCCCCAACCCCTCCACCCACACCCACACCCCTCCGAAATCGTCCCCCGGGGATAACAATCCTCCCCGCCCCCACACCCACACCCAATGCGGCTCGGGGCTTAGGCAGCCCCAGCGCCTTCCTCTGCCTCCGCGTCATCGGGCGGTCCCTCGCAGGAGAGTGGATCACAGGTAAGACGTGGTTATCTGGTTGTTCGATCTCCGGCTCGGGTGAGGAAGCAGGCGAGAGCGACGACGCGGAGGACGAGGGCGGGGAAGGCGGCGCGAGCGACGAGGAGGGCGTAGACGCTGCAGAGGAGGAAGAGGCAGCGGAAGAGGGCGGGGAGAGGCTCGGTGTCCCGTCCGTCATCGAATCCCTCTCCACGTCCATCATGCCGGGTGTGTGCGGTGCCTGTGCGTAGGAAGAGGAGGGGCGCGACCGCGACCGGGTGGTGCGCGACCGTTTAGAGGAAGACGAGGCGGCGGAACACTCGCTGTCGTCGCCCGTCGTGTCGAGTGCCCGTTTCGGGGACTGTTTGGTGCGGGGGTGGAGGTGCGGGAGTGCGGATGAGGAGGGTGGGAGGGGTGGTTCTAGATGTGGTGGTAGCGAAGTTATGGGTACCGGACCCTGTGACGACGGGACATGCGAAGTGCGTAGGGGGTGCGGCGCAGGTGCGGGTCCCTCCGGGGTGATGATGGGTGCAGGGAACGGCGAGGCCGCACGGCTCGTGGGCAGTGGAATGCCCGCTGGATCCAACACTGCGCTCTCCGTCGCTCCTGTTGGTGTGCTCGTCCCCGAAGGCGAGAGCTTGAGCGTAACCTTCCTCTTGCGCTCCTTCTCCGCAAGCGGCGCCTTCTTCGCCCTCGTAGGGGAAGCTGCAGATACAAGGGCCGCCCCGGGGGGCGGCGGTGTCTCGCGCACGGAAGGTAGCCCCGTGTGCGGTCCGCGAAGGTTACGGATGGAGGAAAAGTGTTCCCAGTCGTGGTAGCTATGAAGGGCAACGGAAGGAGGTCAACGTCAAGGCTCACTCCGGCTGCGGTGGGACTCACGCGACATATATGGTATCGCCTTCGCCGTCCTCGTTGTGCTTGAGTTCTGTGGGTGGAGGCGACGGGGCGCGTTTATGCGTGCCTTTGTCCTTGGTCCCTTTCGTTATCTTGCCCTTCTTCTCCTTGACGCCCCTGACCAGGTTCCGCCGTAATCTGCGGCGGTCACGATCATCTAGGTGAGCGTCGTCCTCGTCCCCTGTGCCATTATCCTCCTCGCTCTCATCGTCATCGTCATCATCGTAATCGTACGCGTCGTACGTTGCGTGCGATGAGGAAGTCTTGACGGGTGAAGAAGCGGGGCTGGCAAAGGCGGCCCACTCGATTACGTATACCAGCCCTGGTTGTATGACCTTGACGTTACGCTTTGTGAGGTGGGCAAAGGCGGAGAGCTCCATGTGGCCGCCGTAAGTGGCTGCGGAGGTATGTCAGTCACATTCACATTAAAAACGAGAAACACGATCACGAGGGTAAAGAGAAAAGAACTGACCATGCTCGCGCATGCACTGGAGATGCGTCTCGAGCCCCCTCTCATCCTCGACGAACGGTTCATACCGCTCCCTGTGCTTCTCGATCCAGTCACAGATCTGGCCTCGGAGCTCCATGTGGCGCGATGGCGAACCATACAGTTGGTCCGAGAGGGCGCGGAAAAGGCAGTTGCCATCGCCAATAGTGTCAGCGGGGTAGAGGCCGAGGGCGCGAAGCTGTGTGGTGAGAAGGGCGGTGGATGCAGCGGGGTCGGTGGAGGTGAGGAGCTACAAGAGAGCAGCGTCAGTGAGTGGCACAAGTACAGAGGAGTAGGGTTAGGGTTGGAGTGGGAGGGTCACGTAAGGGCAAGGCAAGAGTACGTACCCGGCCTTTGGAAGATCGAGTGGTGCGGGAACGGACTGCAAAAAGATTGGAAAAAAACATGGGTCAATATGGGAGAAAGTATTTGGAATGAATGATATCAGCGGGCCTCGTGGTCTGGCGGTCGTGTGCGCGGCGGGGGTCAGGCGGAGGGGGTGACTCACGCTGTGGCGGGGGCTTTCCCCTGTTATTCTTCCTAGCCGAGCCCATGTAGTCGCAGGGAGGGGATGGTGGGGATGGTGGAGATGGGGAGGGCTGGCAGATATTGCAACGGGGTGTGTTTGGGGGGGATGATGGATGTTGGTGTTTGAAGGCAACGCGGCTTCGGGGTCTTTGTTTGCCCTGGGGACCCCGGACAGCTATTGTCAATGTTCCTCGGTGGGTCCTGACGTCGACGATGGGTCATTGAAGACGGGATCAAGAGCACAGCACCTATGTATATATTCTCAAGCAGCACAACCACCAGCTGCTATCGCTATCGATCGCCGTAATCGAAGCACCTGCCCACCCTGCACATCACCGGGCCGCAGTCACCGCTTGGGGTCGCAGCACATCCGCAGCTGCCTAAAATACACTTCAGAGCACTTAGAAAAGACATCTTAGACCCACGACCGGCACAATGATTATCGACTCCAAGGTCCTCATGCACCCTCCGCCCCCCTATGTCTCCTCTGCAGGCCTGCCACCATTCCCCTCTGCCTCTAGCCCCTCCCACACACTGACCACTCTCCCATCTCATCTCCTTCTCCAGATCGTCTACGCTACATTTCCACAGGCTCCCCTTCCAGACCAGGCCAAAGTCGAGCGCCAGCGCAAGACCCTCTACTGGCTGTCCGTCTCCCTCCGCCTCGTCGACCGCACCCTCTACGTCGCCTGCATGCACGTCCTGCGCTCCACACACATCCCCGCATACGACGCCCTCATCCGTCCACCCTATACATCGGACCCCTTCCCCCTCCTCGCACCCCCCACCGACACCGCCCCGCGCCCTTCCCCTTACGCTTCCCATGCGCCCCCCTCCGCGTCGGCCCGGGACATGCAGTCCCCACTGAACACCCTTCAGCGCGAGACAACCACCCTCGACCGCTTCATTGCGCTCAAAGTCCGCGAGGACGTCTGGGCGGACGAGTCCGAGTTACATCTCGAGCGCGACGAGGCGTACAAAGACGTCTTCGACCTCGCTCAGCCCCGCAGCCGTCTCGAAGACCTCGTTCGCGTCTACGGCGAACGCGAGGGCGTCGTGCGCATCGGTGCCCCGCCTACCTCTTCGTCGTCCTCCTCCGGCGCAGGTCCCTCAAAGCCAACGACGAACGCCACTATCGGGAAATCCGCAGGCACACCCACAACATCCAAACCCCGCCTGCACACCTCCCCCTCCACCTCGGGACTCAGCGCCTCCTCCTCATCCTCCCTCCGCACATCCCCTACAACCTCCAAACTCCCCTCCCCCGCCCCCACCTCCTTCTTCTACTCCCTATTCTCCAAACCCAAAAATCCAGCGCCGCAGGACAGCGTCTCCCCCTTCCCCGTCCACCCCGCACCGAAGAAAGCAAGGATAACGCCCGTCCCGTTCCACCTCCTCTCCGTGTCGTTCTCCCCGCGGCAGGTCGGGCTCGTGCTGCACCCCGCCCGGCGCACCGTCGTGAGCGTCACGAGGACGAGGGAGGAGAAATTGGAGGTGACGGCGAAGAGGCTGGTGAGGGAGCTGAGGATGTGGTTGGAGGAGGGGGGGTGACTTAGGGTGGGGGGCGTGTGGGTGAGGGCGGGGGAGGGGTGGGATTCCTAGATGGACTCGCATCGCTGCCATGTCATTGATCCTTCTTGCTACCGGCACGCTATCGGCGATGACTCGGACGACTATCGAACCCCCTACCCTTCGACCTACTAGCAACGACGCTACGCCCGTACCCACCATCTGCTGTGTGCCGTATGCGATATCAAGAGACGTGGTTCACCTGACGACTACGTGCCCCTCCTAATCTAACTCGGTCATCTCGCAGCCAAAAACGAGGTCACATTTTCCGAGTTTTTATGCATATATCTATATCCTTATACTAAATATCTACACTTGTACAACGCCCGCTCCCCGCACATTCTCTCCTCGCTCTCATACCTAATTAGATATCCCTTTTCTTTGCTCATTCTGGTACACCGCATCCATGGAAATAAAGCTTCGGTTCTGCATGTACTCGAATTTGTCCGATGGGTAAGGGAAATCCGATCCGCGAGGCTGATGAAGCGGCGCACGAGGCAGAAGGACATGCCGCGTTGGCGTAGTGGTAGCGCGTCTCACTTGTATATAGCCGTCTATACAGTTCTGTGATGGACATGAGAAGGTCACTCGTTCAATCCGGGTACGTGGCATTTTTTGTTTGCCCCTCCTCCCTCCTTCCTGTGTACCTTACTATTTGCTGAATCGGAAGGGGAGCGAGCCACGGGAGTATGACTCTGTACGTGCTTTTCTTCCCGTTCACCGTCGCGGCTTTCTGCAGTACATGCATGGATGGTGTACTTCACGGGTTCGAATGGAGCTCATCAGGATGAATTAGATTACACCGGTATCTCTTACACTCACTCATCTGTCTCATTTTTCTATTAGGAGCGTACTGGAACGAACATGGCGGTGCCTCCCGACCTCTCCAAGGTTAGACTAGGCACCCGGATGTAATACGGCCCCTTAGAAAGACCTTAGACGCCCATCAACCGCAGGGAACAAGCAGGGAATGCGAAATGGGAATCGCAGAACAGCATTCATATATTCCCCCCGGAGGTCTGAGCATGTCCATCCTTTCCTTCCAATACCCATGTCAAAAGCTATCAGGGTATGCTAGATACTCGGGAAGTCAGATATTGCGGGTAAGCAATCCGGGTACGTGGCATTTCTGTTTGCCCCCACCCCCTCCTCTCTCCTTCCTGAGTATCGTATCTCACGATCAGCAGTGAGCAGGGGAGTGAGCGCCAGGAAGAAGGATCTGATACCTGCCAAGGGAACTTAGCACTGGATACCTCCGCGACGGCTCTTAAGAACTATCAGGAAACTTCTATAATCAAAGTCTCGGGAATCTATGCGAGGTGGAATCTTTGCGCAACCACCACAAGCCGTACGCCGGGTATTTGTTGGTATAGGCGAAGCCCGGTGACCAATGGAACTTCTGGGGTCCCAACACACAATTGACGCCAGTGAATCATGAATAACGGTACGTACCCAAAGATGGTTTAACAGCTTCTGGTCCCAACATAGAATTGACGCCAGTGATCCATGAATAACGGTACTTACCCAAAGATGGTTTGACACGATCTCCCTGTCAATGGCTTAAGATCTGAACGGCGTCGTCGTTTTTCGTATCTTCTTTTCGCTGCATAGGTCTCTCACTTATCCTGCTCGCGGCTTCGATCGTCGTCTTTATCGTCTTGAAGATGAAATTCTCCAGGAAGGGGTTACCTTTACCCCCAGGACCTCCGGCGGGTATTTGTGGGTATAGGCGAAGCCCGGTGACCAATGGAACTTCTGGTCCCGACATACGATTGACGCCAGTGATTCATGAATAACGGTACTTACCCAAAGATGGTTTGACGGGCGCCTACGAGCCTTGTCATAAACAATATCCCTGTCAATAGCTTAAGATCTGAACAGCGTCGTCGTTTTTCGCATCTTCTTTTCGCTGCATGGGTCTCTCAGTTATCCTGTTCGCGGCTTCGATCGTCGTCTTTATCGTCTTGAAGATGAAATTCTCCAGGAAGGGGTTGCCGTTACCTCCAGGACCTCCGGCGGATCCTATTCTAGGACATGTGCGATTACTACCCTCAGCTGGCCAGGACGTTTTCTTCTATAATTTGGGGAAAATTTATGGTGCGACTACTAGGTCCTTCAACTAGTATACATGGTGACCTATGTCCATAGGCGATGTACTGCACTTCAGCATTTTTGGACGACCCATGATTGTGTTAAACAGTGTTAACGCAGCCATTGAGCTTTTGGACAAGCGAAGCGCCAACTACAGTGATAGACCCAAATTCCCCATTTACGAAACGTACGTTCTTTAGATGCTCATGAGTTGTTGAACTACCCAATTCGAATCCATGGCTTAGAATGGGCATGCACGATTGCCTCGTCTTCGTGCGATACGGGAACGATTTTCGTATGTATCGTAAAATGTTGCGAGAGTACTTCAGTAAGGAGAAGAGTCGAGCACATCAACGAATACAAGCCAGAGAAGCTCGTATACTTGCGGAGAAAGTCTTGGCACAGCCTGAACGTCGAGGGGACTTATTGATCAGGTAAGTACCTACACATCTCCTTCCTCGAATACAATCCTGATTGATGGGTTTTGGATTTGCGACGGCTATTGTCGTCGAAATTGCTTACGGACATCAAATCGTGTCCGATGACGATCCGTATGTCAAAATAGCTGAAGATGTGTGTTTTGCAACCGTGAATTCGGGTCCCCCTGGCGGTACACCTGTCGATATTTTCCCATTCCGTGAGTCGTATCCCTCCTCTTTCCTCTCGCCGAAAAGTTGATGACAGCCGGAACGTGCAGTCCGATATTTTCCTTCGTGGTTTCCTGGCGCATACTACGCTGGTTTTGCACGGAAAACCTGGCACCTGATTCGAAAATTGTATGATTACCCACTGGAGTGCGTAACGGAAGAGATGGTTCGTAACTTCCCTGAATTTATAAGGAAGTGTGCTATTAATAATCGGTACAGGCCAAAGGAGACGCCAAGCCGTCATTCCTGGCTACCCAGCTAGAGGCCCTACAACGTGAGAATCGTCAAAGCCCGGCCACCATCGAGCAAATCAAGGCCGCCGCTGGTGTTATATATATGGCAGGTGCAGAAACTGTAAATATCTACACCCGTAGCCGAAACCAAAAAAAGAACTCATGTATGGCGATTAGACGTCGTCGACGCTCTCTTTCTTTTTCTTAGCAATGGTTCTTTATCCGGAGTGTCAAATCAAGGCGCAGCAGGAAATTGACGCTGTGGTTGGCCGTGACCGGCTTCCGGAATTCCATCACCGCGAGCAGCTGCCATACGTCGAATGTCTTTTGCAAGAAACGCTCCGGTATGAATAGGACCTTGAGTAATATAGTAATATATACGTGAATTGACCCAAGTTTACGCAGGTGGAATCATGCTGTTCCATTAGGCTTGTTATCGAGTAATTTCATTCCAGGTCTTTACTGATATTGTTTGCCAGGCGTTCCTCATCGTTCGTTGGATGACGATGTCTACGACGACATGTTTATTCCCGGGGGTTCCATCATTATCGCAAACACGAGGTGCATCTCGCATCCTCGCAGAGTTTGAGCAACATTTGATTTTTATTTACCAGAGGAATGTCCCTGGATGAAAACGTCTATGCCAATGCATCTGCATTTGAGCCGACACGCTTCTTACCAAGCCCACTGGGCCGCGGCGAGCCTTACCCGGTAGGGCCGTTTGGTTTTGGACGAAGGTCAGTTCCATGACCACTCCGCACTTAAGTCACTTCTTCGACTCTGTGTTTTGTAGGGCTTGTCCGGGTCGACACGTTGCCAACGACAGTCTCTGGATTGCAATCGTGACGGTACTGTCCGCTATGCACATATCTAAGGAAATTAAGGAAATTGGGGACGACGGGAAGGAAATAGTTCCAGACGAGACACCCGTTGCGGCAGGCATTACAAGGTCTTGTGCTCCAGCTTGTACCATGAATCTGTGAAAGCTAACGCTGACCCACCCGAAGCCACCCACAACCATTCCCATGCCATCTCAGGGCTCGGAGTGACATGATCCAAGTGCTTTTGGAACAGGCCAACACCGGGGAATGCGTATGACCTGTATATGTGGATAGCATGGACCACAATACGTGATGATAACGATTGGGATTGTTGAATAGTATGTCCGGGTGCTAGCCTCCTTAGACCGGTAACAACTTGATCTGTCCGTAGAGCGGGCAGAGCAGCGAAGTGTGTTGCATGCAAATACTATATCTCTCACATGTATCAACTATTTCAAAGCCATGTTCCATGTCTTGATGTACGTAAAGAGTTCACATCGGCAGTCCATCCATGGTGTCCTCGAGATCGCGCAGCCACGTCCGTAGGTTGTGCCTTTAGTGAATCCAGGAGCCAGCGCGCGGCCTCCAGACTTCGCGGTTGTTACAATGATAGAAGAACATTGTACGACATCCAACAACAGATGCACAGGTCGTAATGGAAACAGAAACGGGATTTCGAGGGTAGACCAGGCGATGGGAGAGGGAAAGGGCGACGACGAGGGTGAGGGAGGAAGAGGGAAGGAGAAAAACGGAACTGTTGATGGATGTTGATAAGCATGTCCATCCTTTCCTTCCAACCCCCATGTCCGACGCGATCAGGATATGCCAGATACGGGAAACTCAGATATTGCGGGTAAGTCGCACAAGCGCTTTTGAATGTCCCTGATACTGAAAAATTGCGTAGGCGTTGGAGTTAGAGCCTCGGTGTATGCGCAAGCATACCTGGCGAGATTCAACTACCTCCACATCTTCCACACTCTTATATATATGCACTGGGACGAATCCGACACTGAAGATGCTTTGAATGTAGAGCTGGTGCTTGCCTCCCTTATCGCGCAATTCAGGGATGTAATCGGAATCGTAAAGTAGTTCTTGACTGGCTGCGGTAACATTCAAATGAAGTTCCTCGATCGAAAGCCATATTCTAGGGAGGAGCGGAAGCGTCATGAAGACGCCTGATCCGAGGCAATATGATCTATTCCTTTGGCCAATTCGACAATTTACATTCCGTATGCGCATTGCGCATGCAGGCAAGGCCAAGAGCTTCCTCCTTCTGCTGCGACCGGCTCCCGCTTTCTATACGTTATTGGCCGTCGACATCTACCTCAAGCCTGAGCTTATTTTACGCTCTAGTTCCCGTCGTTAGCATAAAAGGGCTTTTCTTTCCTCACAAATGCCCCCCGTTTTCCCGTGGCGCGCAGCAACGACAGCGGGCTATGATTTTCCGGCACACTCTTTCACGCAGGGATGTTCTCCTGGTACTCATAGGCGCCATATTGATGCTTATGTGGACTTTCTTGAGCTCGAGACAGACATTCCTTGACCAATCCATCGTAATCGACACCCAGTTCCACGGTCTTTCGCCTCCGACTGATACTCCACCGGAAGCCGTACACCAGCTCCTACCAAAGCATGTAGTAAAAACGATCACCATACACTCTACTAAAACACATTTCCAGACGGAAAAGAGCACGGCCTTCATCGACGCAGCGCCAACCTCCAGATCGGATATACCTCCTCTTTACGCCTCGGAACCTGTCGATTTCAAAAAAGAGTTACCCCATACCTCAATAATATCGCACGCACCAGGGTGGACCTT